GAGGGCACATTCTGCGTGGAGCACTGGGTGTTATGCACAAACAATGAATCATGGAACACTACATCAAAAACTAATGATGCAATGTATGGTGATTAACATAACAATAAAAATTTAAAAAAATTTAAAAGGGGGGGAAAAAAAAAAGAAAGCCCCAAAGCCACACCCAGCATTCAAAGAATCTCAACCCATGATGACTATAGCATTTAAATCTTGGTGTTAGGGTGGGAGAGCAGCCAGTGGAAAAGTCAAGTTAAGCAAGTTTCACATTTTCATATCTTAAGATAAATCCCAAATAAATTAAAAACCTCAGTGACAAAAAAAACCAACAACAACAACAAAAAACCTGTTACTAAAGTGCAAGACATAGAGGTGAATATTTGTATAACCCTGAAGTGGGTCAGGCCTTTCGAGTCAGCGACTTCGTTTGTTCCTACCTGACTACATCAAGATAATCACGTTCAGGGGAGCAGCTAACAGAGCTAACAAGATTTATCCACAGCGGGTCAAGTTTCCATGGGATCCGCTTAAACCGTGAGGGCGCTGCTACCACTGACAATCAACAGACGTGCTCAAGTAGAGAAAAGGACAAAAGGCGTCTTTACAGCCTCAATATTTTACATAACTTTGGTCTCAGCAAATGGACTCCTTTGTTTCTGATTAATCTTGGATGCAGGGGAAAGATTTATTTATAAGGAGATTGACTTCCTCATCCTTTACAAATGGAAAAGATTAGAAGCAATTAAAGTGCCCAACAATAGGGATTGGGATAATCTATCTTACAATCATGCAGTGGAAGACTGGAGCATTTAAAAGGATGATGTGTTAGTTTCCTAAGGCGGCTATAACCAGTTACCACCAACTGAGTGGCTTCAAACAACGGAAATTTGTTCCATGGCAGTTCTGGAGGCGAAAGTCTGAGACCACGGTGTTGAGAGGGCCATCTCCCTTTGAAGGCTCTAGGGGAGAATCTTTCCTCCCCTCTTCCCGCTTCTGGTGGCCTGAGGCATTCCTTGATGTTCCTTGACTTGGAGCTACATTATTCCAGTCTCTGCCCCTGACATCGCAGGACCTTCTTTGTCTGCACGTGGCTGGCTTATAAGGGCACTGGTCATTGGATTTAGGGCTCACCCTCATCAGCATGACCTCGTTTTAACTATTATATCCACAAAGACCCTGATTCCAAATAAGGTCACATTCTGAGGTTCTGGGTGGATGTGAATTTGGGGGGACACTATTCAACCCAGTACAGGTGATACAGAAGAAGTTCTAAAGATAGAGAAAAGCGTTTACAGAATATTACTCATTTTAAAGAGGTGGTCATAAAGCAACAGGTATGGTATTTATAGGGATCCTAAGTGGCATATACAGATCCTGCAAGACCGTGGCTGTGTCTTCACAAAACAGTACCAGTGGAAATGAGTAGTGAAAGCCTTGAATGATTTTAATTGCACTAATGAATGTATTTTCTAAATTTTTAGCAATAAACATGTGTTTCTTTGATAACAAGATAAAATAATGAGCCTTTCTAATCTAGGGTTTCAAACTGTAGGTATAATAATTAATTAATGTTCTTGATTGCCACAGCTTTTGTCTAATTGGTTGAAAATATTATAGAGTTTGCAAAGTTCAAAATACATTTTTAAATATGTCATTTAAAACAAGGAATATTTCAAAGTTGAATACTTCAAGATACAAGATAAGTTTTTGTTTTTCAAAATTACAGACCAGTTGAGATACATGGGTTTGAAATGTTCATTGTGTTTACTGTCTCTTGTGTTCCTAAAATTTCACTGCAGGCACAGTTAGGTAAGGGTAAACTTAAAAACTTTCTAGCTACACGTCTCTAGAGCACTGGTGAGCTATTGGAAATGAACAGTTCCCTTGTTATTTCTTGTTTCCCTAGGCAAGGAATTATTCCTCCAGGTCTTACAGAAAATGAATTATGGAGAGCAAAGTACATCTATGATTCAGCTTTTCATCCTGACACGGGTGAAAAGATGATTTTGATAGGAAGAATGTCAGCTCAGGTTCCAATGAACATGACCATCACAGGTTGTATGATGACATTTTATAGGTAAGTCATGGAAATGTAACAACCGTTCATTTTATATGACAGAGCTTAAAGTACATTTTTGTGTGTAAACAGTTTTATTGAAATAAATGTCATTTCACGTTGAGTTCCATTTTATATAAATGTCCCAACTCTAGGGGGTTGCTTTAACTTTTCCCGGTGCTAAATAAATACTATTCTCTCTGTCGTTCAAAAGGAGGCTGATTTTTTCCTCTAACTCTTAGCTTCCAAAAGAAAATGAGATGGAGAAAGAAAATTTTAAAAGTCTCTAAACAAATTCTCTTTTAAATCCGTTCATAAGTCACAGATGTAACTGTAGATGTAGCCGTAGACGCAGACATGCAGGCTTGCACGTGCCATAAGGAGGAATCAGGACTACTTCACCTACAGACAGCTGGCTTTTTTCCCTACGAGAAGGGGCCTGACATTTGTTGAGTGCCTACTGTATGCCAGGCTCTCTACAGATTTAAGATAAAATTTAAGGAGGATGACTTGATTCTCACCATAGCCCTTTGAGCTTGGGCTTATCCATATCCAAAGAAGGAGGATGCTGAGAATCAGAGGGTGCACATCGGCCCCGCCACTCAGGTTCCAAGCTTTTGACGCAGAACGCAAGGTCTCTGACCTAGCGCTCTCCTTCCGCAGTCCATCTCCTCTGTGGTTACTGGTGTTCACATTTTCTGTTCTGCACAGCGGCTAGGTCACAGGCGATGGCCGGTGTGTGACGGATCGCTCTGTTTTAGGACGACGCCGGCCGTGCTGTTCTGGCAGTGGATTAACCAGTCCTTCAACGCCGTGGTCAATTACACCAACAGAAGTGGAGACGCGCCCCTCACTGTAAAGTAAGACTGTAAGAGTTAATCGTTCTGTACACTTGCCCAGTGTGCATTTCATCTGGTGGTGTATAAACTGTTGATACTGGTCAGAATATCATGGGGCATATTTTCCAGTAGCGTTTCTTCTCCTCCCTTCCCATCAAGATGACTGTCTTGTCCAGCCTGCCTTCACAGACATGACTCTTGCTGTTAGGGACCCTGGTAGGCGGATTTGTCTCCCACGCCCTCAGGCTCCGCATGCAGAACACAAGGTGGGCAGTTGAGGGCTGGGCCGTGGCAGACGACAGGCTGTGCCCCTGTCTACCCTGAGCCTGGGGCCAGGTAACAACATCAAAAGTAGCGGCATCAAGAGTGTGATCTCTGCAGAAACCAAGGGGACTTTTATTTAGGGTTTGTCTTTAAAGAAGCCATCTATAGAGCCAAACAGAAGGTGAATAGGTTTAAAATGTTGCCTCCTGTAAAAAACTGTTTGGACTGGCTAAAGTGATTAGTGAACCAAAACTTTTAGCTCAACTTGGAGAACACTTCAAAGTGTTTTCTTTTTTGTCACTTTAAATGGCCTCTGACAGTCCATAGTGTTCTCTTGTCACCATATGGAACAAAGGTTGTGGAAATCTGCCACCGCAGTGTTTATCACACCTTCATTTCTTCCAACCCTTTGAATTAAAACTTACTTTATTTATTTGTATTTATTATTATTATATTTTTTTTAGAGAGACAGCATGCAAGGCAGGGGTACGAGGTAGGCAGAGGTAGAGGGATGGAGAACCTCAAGCGGACTCCACACGCAGCACAGAGCCCAGCGCCGGGCTTGATCTCACGACCCTGAGATCATGACCTGAGCCAAAATCCAGAGGCAGATGCTTAACGGACTGAGCCAGCCAGATGCCCCTAAAACTTAAACAGCTGTGCCTAACTGCCTGTTGCAGATGGGACTTTTAGTATTTCAATACAATAAGTTATAATTTTAAGAACAGCAGTATGGCAGTTTTACTTCCAGTATGTGTATTTATATTTTGAGAAGTACTTTTTATTTAGGTAGACATGCTGCCCACACTTAGGCCAAGATGCTGTTCCCTGCACGCTCACAGCCCCTCGATCCCCTCCCCCCACCAGCACCTCCTCCCTACAGCTGCTGCTGAAGCTGCTGGTCGGCTTGTCTGTGAGGAAGGCCACTCTGCCCAGGGCCGCTTGCTTCCGGTCTGCGTGTGGCCGTTTGTAGAGTGATAATGAGTGTTGTTTTGTGGGCTTTCCCTTCTTAATCATGCTCTTTCACATCGTCCCCTCATTTCCTCAAAAAATGTCGAACCCAGGTTTCCTGACGTGCACCTGTTTTTCATGCACTATTCTTTCTTTTCAGTGAACTGGGAACAGCTTACATTTCCGCGACAACTGGTGCTGTGGCAACAGCTCTAGGACTCAACGCATTAACCAAGGTACTCGGATTTTCATTTCCCTAGTAAGGCTTCTTAATTTGCTCTCATCCGCCTGGCTCAAGTCTCTTGATTATTTCTCAAAATAGTTCAAGTCCTAGGACTTTCTTATTACCATCATTATCTTTGCCTGCCTATCTCAGTTGGGTCTTCCAGTGAGTTTCAGAAAGGCCGTCACCAGCACCCTCTGCCAAGCCCCTTGTCTGTCCCTGGCACTGCATCTTACGTGGCCAGTGCTCCCCGACCCCGGCTGCCCACTAGAGGCTGTGTGCCAAGGAGTGTGCCCACACCCACACCTCTGGAGAGGTGGAGACGCCAGTGCCTGAACTCAAGACCCTGCGACTCCAAAGCCCCCCAGTCTGCCAGCCAGGCCAGTCTGGCTGACATCTGGGAAGTATGTCTTGTCCCAGTACGCCCGTGCTGGAAATCGACAACCACCGCCAGGGAACAAATTTTGAAAGTACCCTTGGCCTGAGTTTCCATACAAAAAAGACTGTTTTTAGCAGTTTTCAAGGAGAAATAAGTATTTGCATTCAGTAATCCGGGCAAAGTAAAATAATGCTTTGGGGATGTTTTTTTTTCTGCAGCATGTCTCACCACTCATAGGACGTTTTGTTCCCTTTGCTGCCGTAGCTGCTGCTAACTGCATTAATATCCCATTAATGAGGCAAAGGTAAGATTCATATGCAGTCTTAGAAAGGACTGGTGCTTGACAGTAGAGTCTTAAAATAATTAGTTGTGTTGAAACTTTTAACAGTTCATTTTAATATTTACAGATGGAATTATATGAGACCTGGGTTTGCTCCAAAGTAATCTGGCGTGGGCACAGGGATGGGTCCATTAATGAAACAAGCTTAGCCATGAGTTGCTAATTATTGAAGTAGGCTGATGAGTATGTGGGGGGTTAGAATACTCTTTCTACTTCTGTGTAATAAAAAGTTTAAACCATATATCTCAAACTAACATTTAGTTGTTGTAGAGCTAGGCAAAGAAGGTCTATGCACAGAAAGTTTATTCTCTAAAATAGGTACCCCCACCACCCCAGAACTGTCTTACTGGGTTTAAAATATTAATCTACATTTTTGGAAGTATTTTATAGAACTGACAGAAATTAAAAGAGAAGAAAGAACAAGAAAAAGCATTTTGGAATGGATAACAAAAAACGGTAACAATAGGAGCTATAATTTTAGTGTTAGTAATCGCTTCTCGGCCTTTTGGCTAAGGTCAAGTGTAATTTTAGTGTTAGTAACTGGCATTAACTATCCAGTGGTGCCATATACTAGTGATTCCTGGGTCAGTATAGTTAATTTACCTAGTAATGCCATGTATTATATTTGTCTTTCATTTGGGAAGTTGCTCAGATTTGCATGTGAGCATAGAAATTAGCCTTATCTTTAAGTTAGCATATTCACCCTTTGAATTATATTGTTATTAAAAAATGCAACACTTTTTTTCATGGAGTTTACTAGTGTTATTTTCCTTTTTTTTTTTTTTAAAGATTTTATTTCTTTATTTGAGAGAAAGATTGAGAGTGAGCAGGGGGAGGGGCAGAGGGAGAGGGAAAAAGAATCTCCAGCAGACTCTGCACTTGATCCCACAACCCTGAGATCACCACCTGAGCTGAAATCAAGAGTCGGATGCTCAACCAAGGCTCCCTGTGTTACTTTACTTTTGTGCCTACCACACAAGGATTAGACTTTGTTCGTGGTATTTAAAAATAGACCTGTTAGGGGCACCTGGGTGGCTCAGTCAGTTAACCGTCTGCCTTCGGGTCAGGTCATGATCCCAGGGTCCTGGGATCGAGTCCCATGTCGGGCTCGCCTGCTCCTCTCTCTCCCTCTGCCCCTCCCCACTGCTCGTTCTCTCGCTCTCAAATAAATAAATAAAATCTTTAAAAAATAAAAATAGACCTGTTAGTGCCAAAACTGACACTCAAGCGGGTATTTGGATTCAGTAGGGACTTGGTCTTCCATAGCACAGTGCTGTTTCCAGCGGTTTCATGAAGGTTATCTGTGAACTCCTTTGCCTGTGTTTTGCTCGACAGGGAACTCAAAATTGGCATTCCCGTCACAGATGAGAATGGGAACCGCTTGGGCGAGTCGGCCAATGCTGCAAAACAAGCCATCACACAAGTAGTTGTCTCTCGGATTCTTATGGCAGCCCCGGGCATGGGTTAGTAGCTCTTTGTCACCGAGCCCTGTCCATAGTCTGAGGGGCGGGAAGCCACGGTGAAGCTTAAGCAGGGGAGTGGTGTAATCCTTGGGCTTTAGTGGCATGACATCGGGGGCTGTGTCAGGAGCAGAGTGAAGAGGGCCAAGAGTGATGGTTGGAGACTGGCCGGGAGGCTGGCACGCTACAGCAGGCCGGTGATGGGGCTGGTTTGGACCCGGGCGGTGACAGTATGGGCAATGAGAACTTGAAGGCAAAGAATTTGATTTTCGTATATCTTGAGGAGAAACTTCTAAAGGTTCTTGAATCAGAATAATTTCTACTGAAGATTTATTTGTATCGATTAGAAACCCTTGGAATACAAACCAGGTTGGGTTGGTTAGAGCAGCTATTAAGATGTATGCCAAGCTTCTACTCAGTTTTGTCCTTAGGGCTTGGAGTCACCATGCCCCACAGCCAAAATCTGCATTGTATGTAACCCACTCCTAGGGCTTCCTAGATCCACCCTCAGACTAGAGGCTGAGAGAAGATTCTCAGACTTACTCAGGAACCAGAGGGCCTGGGAAGTCTAGTGCTCTTTACAGAAAAAAATTGAAATTAGTAGGATTAATTTCATCATCTAAGCTGAATGCAAAAAGCACTTGGCTGGGTGGCTCAGTCGTTAAGCGTCTGCCTTCGGCTCAGGTCATGATCTTGGGGTCCTGGGATCGAGCCCCGCATCAGGCTCCCTGCTCAGCGGGAAGCCTGCTTCTCCGTCTCCCACTCCCCCTGCTTATGTTTCCTCTCTCGCTGTGTCTCTCTCTGTCAAATAAATAAAATCTTTTAAAAGAAAGAAAAAGCACTTGGCTATTAACCAAGCTCTCAAAAGAAGCACACTTAATCAGTTGTCAGGTTGTCCTGCTAGTATCTTTTGTTGTCTGTAAGTTCCTTTTGTCATTGTGAATCTCATCAGCGCACAAGTAGGAGTAGGGACATCATAGTGGCGTCAGTTATAACCCCAGGTAATTCGGAGTATCCGATTTAGCCACCGTTAATTGATTGAACAAAGAAACCCCTTGGCGTCCTCATGAGACAGCGGTACACGCTGTGGGAGTGGGTGCACTGTGGGAACCAGACACAGAGGGGGGTCCCCAGGGTCTGGCGCCAACACACCCACCATGCCCGACTTCCACACCTGCCGACATCAGGCTTGCAACTCCAGCCTCTACCCTGCATTTGCTTTTGGTTTGGGTTTTGTTCTTTCTCATTTTGAAATCTGAGGCTCCCCTTTGGAGCTCAGCAAGCCCAATGGATCTATTTCTAGAGGCTTGGTTATTTTAAACATTATTTAGTCCCAGAGAAGAAACATAGCCTTTCTGTCCCAGTGGAATCTATAGAGGTAATTGCCATATGGAAGTGGTTGATGTGACAGTTTAGTCTGATAGAAATTGTGAGTAAATAATAAATGAACTACCACTACCCGAGGAGTTATGTACATTATTGTCTCCAACCATCACAGCCAGTTTGATAGAATTCTCCCCATTTTATCGATGAGGAAAACAGAAAACTGAAGCTCAGAGAAGTTAGGTAACTTTTCTTCCTCAAGGCATGAATCTTTTTCTTAAGGCAGAATCTTTCTACTGGACTCCATGTGGGATGGATGCCTGGGGGAGGTGGCATTTGTTTAATTAGCACAGAAGGGGAAAGTTCCTGATGTTTGTACTGTTACGTATTTAAAGTTAAATGTAAAGTTCTCTTCCAGATTATAAAATTTTCTGGCTGGTAATGAGCATTACATTGTTTTTAATTTTTTTTAATGCTGAAGTATTTTAAAGAATTATTGCAAATAATTTCGCTCTGCCAGTGTGAAAATAGCCTAAAAGTGATGTAAGCCTTTTGTAAAATGGTTAAAAAAGATGTGAGCTGAAAATAAATATTAAAGAAAGATTTAAGTGGGTGTATCTTTACTTGCAGCCATCCCTCCATTTATCATGAACACTTTGGAGAAGAAAGCCTTCCTAAAGGTAAGCAAGCCCCGGTTCTATTAATCTTTTTCTCAATCCTTCCAGTTCCTTTTCAGACTTCAAACAATACAGAATATTTCCTACACAGTGAGTAAAGAATTTGAAGGCCATTGGCACTTGGGCCCTTACGTAAATAAAAAGATGTTTCTGGGAACATTTTACTTCTGATCTCAGATATTTGAGAAAGCTTTCATAAATGAAGGTGGCTGCCCATTCCTCTTGAGAGGTTATACTCAGTTACAGCTTATCTTAGTCATCACTTGGATGCCTAGCTAGGTGATAAGAGATAGTGTGAATTTGGAATGATGTGTTTATAAGTCACTACACATACTATCAGAAATGAAGAGTTTGGAGTAGTAGCTTTATAGGACCCTGAATATAGTGCCCGGTGTATTTTTCTTTAGTGATCATATCTAGTAATTCATTAATTTTATCAGCCACCTCCCTTCAAGGTCACATTGGGACCAAGGACTCTCGATGCTTCTACATTGCTTTTTGTAGCTTCCTGGTTTAAAGAAATAGTGTTCATGAGTCACCCTCATTTTCCAGTTTTTTCACAAGTGGGATATGGTAGAATAGGGTGACTCACTTGGCTCATGCGGTTTGGAAAGTGGCATTGTTAGATCTGCCAAGAGAAAGGAGCCACGTTCCTCGCTGGAGGAGCAGATGTGTTGTGGGGAAGACCACAGCTCTCCTGGGGTGAATTGTTTTGAGTCTTAGAAACAGAACTGTAACATCGAGGGAACAATATAAAGCTTTAAAAAGGGACATAGTTCACAAGCCAAACACTTCCTGAATGATTTCATTGATTGGGAGTACTCTAAATGTGCAACAGGTATGTTCACTGACCCATATACTCCCCATGCGTCCCAGAAGGAAAGCTACAGTCAACACTAAGTGGACACTTCATAAACACTTTCAATATAATAATGTTCTTAGAGAAGTAAGCCAGAAAAGTCTGCTATGAGGAAACAGTAATGTTGAGTGCCTCATTTGACCCATGTAGCCAGGTTGTCACCTGTCAATGCACCAGCCCCACCTTAGGGAAAGGGGTCCCTCTCTCCAGCACCTTCTCTCCTATTCTTTCTTGGGTGCTTTGGGCACATGGAAGAATTCTACTCCCTGAGCATCCTCCTAGCAATCTTACATGGCAGTGTGAATTGTGCAGTCGTGTTGTCATGGCTCTGTAGCAACTGAACTGTCCCCAAATACAAAACAGTTATATATATGGAAGCAGTAAAGCTATTGGTATAGGCCAAAATGTCATTGTGGACTCATCTGACATTTTACCTACTTCACTAAGCTCTTCTTTTGAGAATTAATGACAAAGTTTTGCCCAAACCTCTTTCTGGTGCAAAGCTTAGGAAAGGATTAACTCTTAAAAGCTGCTAATGGATTAGTTTATGTACTGGAACACTAACTATATCCTAAAACTACCAAATTGTATACACATTTGAAATTCATCAGCTTTGACATCTCCGTGATTTTCAGATAATCTGAAAAAAATTAGTGCATTTTCCTTTGTCCATCCCTGCTTTACTTATGGGAAGTGATTCAGGCTTTGGAGGAAGAAACCTATTACGTTAATTTAAATGGGGCTTGTCAGTATCACTCTCCAGGATACTAGTAGGAAGTGGCCCATCCAGTACATCCATAACTTTGCAGACATTGACTTGATGCCCTGCGTTCTTCTCTACCAGCTCTTAATCTGGGAAGCCATTAGCATTAGGATTCTAGTAGTTCAGCGAGGGTATGTGTTGACCCAGGCAACCTGTTGACCTGCCTGGTTGTTAGCTCCTAAAGGTAGTGGCATGCCAGCTTCAGGAGCAATGGAGGATCAAAATAAACCTAACCCCCCCCGCCCCCGGCTGAATTGAAGCAAAACTCGAGTTTTTAAAGCAAGACCAGATGTCCAGATCAGTTACAAGGCTTGGAAATTGTCATCTGATGTGAGTTTGTCTGACATAAAAGTGACAGCTTTTGCAAGAGAGGAGTACTAAGTGTGGCTCATTCACCAACAGTGCAACGAGGTTATGATTGTCCTGAATCTGCTGGTAACCGTGAAAGCGGATGGGAGGCCACTCTCGGTGGCAGCATCCCCACTGCTGAGGCCTACCCAGTCTTTTCTCTCTGACTCTCAAATGCCACCCAACATCTCTTTAGCAGAAGGATCTCTGCAGCCTGCCTCTGGATTGGAGGCTCTGAATCTCGCCACCTGCCCCTGCGGGTGGTACTTTATTCTGCAGTCCGGCTCTGGCCTGCGGGTATTGGGCATACTCTGGCTGCTAACATGTGTCCTGATCATGACTGGGGATTCCAGGAATTCTATGAGAAAGTCTGCATTTGAAGCTCCATTAATGCTGAAAAGTTAGGTCACTGGGGAAAACACGAAATGAGGTTGGTACACTCTTCTCCTAGTGCAGGTGTGCATTGGCACTCCTGGGGTCTCAGCATTGTTGGAAAAGTTGCCAGAGTTACTCTGATCTCCGAGTGACAGACACTGGACAGAAGACCCAGTTGGGCATCTGGCATTATTTTCTTGCTCTGACGGATGGAAATTGCTGCAGATACAGCCTAATAACATTTTCTACGTGAAGGACCCAGCAAATGATACAAGCAGTTAGTGCCCCATTGCCACTCTGTATTGGGCTTTTTCACGTTAATAAATGAATGCATATTGTGTTTTCCTCCCCCACCTCAGTATACCGTTTTTAGCTTTGCTTGATACGGTATACGCTAGTGATAACTTGGAGATGTGCCACCTCACCTGTCCTTGACGAAGCAGCCCTCTGTCTGCCCCACTCTCCAACAGTGAAGGGCCTCACCGGGAGCTGGGAGAGACCACTGGCCTCAGAAGCCCCGTGGCAAGGTCGGGAGTGGTGGTCAGAGTGGCTGACACTCAGTCCCAGCATCCCACCAGCTATAGGGGGTCTGGTTGTAGCTGTCCTGCTCCAGACCTCAGTGGAGGAAGTTGCTTTGAAAAAGGAATGGCGGACTGTTGTTGAGCTATTCGTACACACATACCACTCCCCAAGTGCAGTGTGGCCTTACCCTGAAATACTGCGTTTTGCCCACATAGAGAGTTCCATAGGACTTAACTGATAGTCTAGCTATTGCTAAAACACAGGCAGAGGTGGCTTGTATTACTATCCATACATTTCCATCCTCAGAGCACTTTCACATGCATCAGGAAAGGCAGGCTTTACCGTGCCCCTTCCACAGAGGCTCCCAAGATTGTTTCTACAGCAGCTCCTGATGTCCACGTGGGTGGTGTCTGCCTCGCTTGGCCCCCTGCTTGTTCCCACAGCCCCAGTGGCTGGCTGTGCCCCTCTGTAAGGGTGTACTTATCTGGGCTTTTACCTTGGACATGACCAAACTCCTCTGCAAGCATGAAACAAATTGAACCTTCTTGGCTTTTTTATTAGCACTGAGCTTGGGGAGCATTCAGTGTGATTCGTCCCTCCCCCTATCTTTCCCCAAGTGGGGTGCTGGAAGAAAAGCATCAGCAGTGGGCATGTGACTCCCAGAAATCTTTGCAATAAACCAGAAAGCTCACTGCTGAAAGTGTGGCCCTTTGAAGAATGGTATTCTTGAAGAATAACTCCTGTGGTCTCTTTACCTTGCTGGCACTTCCATTGGGAATAAGTCAAGTTAATATGGTTTGGGTCAGATAATAGTTCCTCATTCCTTAAGTTCTACTTCTTCCATATTCCCTTTAATAAAGGTGGACTGCTCTGTCTACTCTGTAGATTTTTCAGGACTTTCTGTTAATTAAATGTGAGTGTAGCATTTATTTATCCATTCACTCATTTATTTATTTACTCACCTGCCCTTTGCTGAGTGCTTGTTATGTGCCAAGCAACGTGCTAGGTGCTTGAGTCATAGAAACGGCTTGAACTCTGCTCACAGGGACCATATAGCACAGTGATGGGAAGAGGCACAGGGCAGTGGTTCTAATACTTGGTGGTTACAGCACAGAGGGAATAGAGGAGGTGTCTTCCTCAACTACAGGGGGTGGCAGAGTCTTGAAGGGGACGGCTCAAGGGTACATGCTTTGCAGAAGCTCAGCGAGGTCACACAGCATGGCTTATTGGGAGACTTGTGGATGGTCAGGTTGCCTGGCATGTGGGCCATGTATAGGGAATTGACTATACCATATGTAAAAATTAATTCCCCATGGTTCGTAGACTCTAAATGTAAAAATCAACAACTGTGAAACTTCTAGCAAAAAATATAATAGACCATCTTTGAGATCGAGAGTTAGGCCAAGATTTCTTAGACACAACACCAAAGGCAGTCCATAAAAGAAAAAGTGATAAATTGGACTTCATCAAAATGGTAAAATTGTGTTTTGTGAAAACTATAAAAGATGAAAAGACAAATAGACTGGGAGAAAATCTATACAAAGCTTGTATCTGATAACGGATTTATATCCAGAAGATCTAAATCACTCAATACTCATTTAAGAAAACAACCCAATTTTAAAAACGTGCAGAAGGTTTGAATGGACGTTTCACCAAACACATATCTGTATCAGATAAGCACATGAAAAGATGCTCAATATCTTTATTTACTGGGGAAGTTCACATTAAAACTACATGAGCTACCACTAAACATCTACAGGAATGGCTAAAACCAAAAGGACTGACCAGAGCATGTGTTGGTGAGGATGCGGAGGAATTGGAACTCTCATGTCTTGCTGGTGGGAATGAAAAATGGTACAACCACTTTGGAAAATAGTTTGGTAGTTTCTTAAAAAGTGAAATAGTTGCTTACCATCTGATCTAGCCATTCCACTCCTAGGTGTTTATCTAGGAGAAATGAAAGCATATGTCCATAAAAGACGAATGGTTCACAGCAGCTTCATTTGCAATAGCCAAAAACTGGCAACAACCCAAATGTTCATCAGCCGGAGGATAGATTATCAAATTGTACTGTATCCATGCAGTGGAATACCTCACTCAGCAAGGAAGAGTAATGGACTATTGATACATGCAACCACTCGAATTAATCTCAAAACAATTACACAAAAAATAGATACCATACATAAAATTCTAGAAAATATAAACTGATATATAGTGGCAAAAAGGAGATCAGAGGTTGCCAGGGAATGGGTGCAGGGTTTAGGAGAGAGAGAGGAATTGCCAAGGGCACAAGGAATAAGGAAAGCATTACGGGTGACAGATACGTTCATGACCTTGATCGTGGGGATGGCTTCATGGCTGAATACATGTATAAAAACTGCAAATATTTGCAGTATACTGTATGTCAGCAAAGCCATTAGAAAAAAGATCTGGCAGAAGGAAGACTTTAGGGTCATATTACTTTTTGAGCTTTTACCTCTTGAATATATATTTTTTACACTTATGATTACTGTCTTTAATTCATTGAAACTTTTATTTACAGTATCCTCTGTTTGCACGATTTTAAGTGTGTGAGTATGTAGGGGAAGACCAGACGTCCACCGCTCACTAAGTGAGTCTCAGGCTGAGTGCTATTTAAGAAGTAGGGGTGAATCAAGCAGATGGGGTGCTGGAGAGGAGTCAGGAGACTCCGGGATGACATCCAGGGTTGGGTTAAGTCAGAATTCTCCAGGATCCTTGTCATTACTCAGAGCCTTTCCATCGAAACCTTCGGCATGAGCCACAGTCCACCTTCTGCTCATCCACATCCTTCTTTGAGATTCCTCGCAGCTGTTCCCTGGGATAACAGGTTAGCCCCGTTTGCTTCAGACAAGAGCTCACTTGAAATCAGAAGGCCACTCTCAGGGGCTCAAGTTCATCCTCCACAAAATCTCCTTCAGTACTTAGCCTGCCTTCCCATCACCCAGTGCAGATGTCACATCTGGGAAGTGCCGGGGCGAGGATGTACATCTCCTTACGAAAATCCATCATCATCATACAGGGCCAGTTACCCAAGATACAGTATGTCCTTTTCTTGCTGTCCTTTGAGGGGTGGGTCTTGATGACATTTCTCCCTTCCTCTCTAGTACTTGCCTCTCTCCCCTCACGTTAACCTGCGTGACGTACCTTTTTGCCAGAGGAGTCTTCTCGGGGACCAGGGTACGCCTCTCATGCAAGCTTCTTTGGGATCATGATCTTTTAACAACCTGTGTTGACTCTGCACTAAGTTGACCGATTTCATAACAACCAGTTCACTACTCGGCTGCCGCTGTTTCAGGGGCCTTGTTTCTAGAACCATCTATCCCATCGTTCTCTGTATCGCATGTTTTGGTACCACTCCTTTTTGAAAACTAAAAATCTAACAGTGCTTATTCTCCAAAAGACCAACCAACTCATTCATTTCCATTAAAAAAAAAGTGACAGGCAAAAATTTTCTGTGCCAGCAGTAGTTTTAACCATATTGACAGCAACTAAAAGCAAGAAAGGGAAGCTGCAGGGGAGGAGGGAAATGTTTGCTGGGTTTCTGCTACGCTCTGGGCACCGTCCTGGGTGCTTTACAAATGTAACCTGGCACATCTCCCACACACTTTTAGTCAACTGTTGCGATCCTCATTTTGCAGCTAAGGAAACCGAAGCTTGGAGAGGTTGGGCTCTGCCTGCCCTGTCCCCACAGTCGGGAACCAGGCGGCAGGGCAGAGAGTTGAGTACAGGTTTAGCTGTCTTCCAACCTGCGCACCAGGCTGTACTACCTCCCCCGCAGGAGACAATGATTCCTCCATGTGTTCAGAGCCAAGCATCTCTCAGACGATATGTGCAAGAGAAAGAACTGAGAAGCCACTTGATCTTTGCATGTGCATTCATTGACCAATCAAGGAGGCTACAGGAAGTCAGGACTAACATACTTGTTGCAGTGTTACCCCCAAATTTCACTAATCCGGATCTTGTAACCTGGAGAGTGTCCTCCCTATTATCAGCAGAAGAAATTGTCTCTGTATGAAAAGTATTCAAAATAATTTCTCTCTCAATACAGAGGTTCCCATGGATGAGCGCACCTATTCAAGTTGGATTAGTTGGCTTTTGGTGAGTGGAATTAATTTTTTATAATTAATTTTTTCTTTAAAGGTAAATACACAGCATATGAAAGGTGAAGGAATGGGCAGATAATGTGGGACACAAGTTTTGAAAGTGAGACCATCCCAGAACATCTGGAACTTATGGTCCCCAAAATTAGATAGAAGTAAAAAGAAACCTACAATGTTTGGGACTGTTTGTGTGATTCTTTTTTTAAACTCCTGATTATCTCTCTGATGTTTTTTGTTTAAATTATCTTGACAGTCCTTGGTAATAAAATTACACAAACAGGACATATTTTATAAGGAAATACGATGCTCGAAAGAAAGGGGATTGTTATAAAAATAAAATAGAAGAAGAATCTGAAAGTCATCCATTTGAAAATGCTCTGATTTGTCTTTCCTTTCCTTTTTTTTAGTTTGGTATTTGCTACACCTCTATGTTGTGCTCTGTTTCCTCAGAAAAGGTATGTATTTGCTATTCTTCGGAATGATCACGAGTTTTAATCCTAAAAACCAGTTGAAAACACAGGTGCTGTTATTCCGTTTCACTTGAAGGGAAGTTGAGATTCAAAAAGATTAATGAAGCCGAGTCTCTAAGAGGAACAGATAGAAGCAGAAGTCAAACACACATGTGTTTAATTTCAGAATTCTCTTTATCCCGCTCTACCATTACATTTGAAAATGCTTTATTCATTTGTAAGAGTCAGGTTAGCTCTGGTACAAATTTGCTTTTATAAAAAATTTAAATAGGGCTTCTTGTCATCCGATCCATTGGCCAGTGCGGCTACAGCACAGATGTGTTCAAATTTAAGGTCCGCCCCAGGGACAGCGGTTATATGCACTTTGCCTCGGTGGTTGGTTTATTTGCAGCCCCTCTTCCTATTTAGTTTCTTGCCTTACAATCCTTATTGTGTACTTTCATCACCAGCTACCCTTAAATCCCGCTTTTGATGTAAGAACTGGATTGATGGGCATAAATCAGCATGGGATAAATCCAGGTCTTCAGCCTCTTGCTGACCCGACACGGAAGCACAAAGAGGAGCATGTTGTTTGTTGTTTGTTGTTCGGCCTTTGTCTAAGGGTCTGTAATACCCACATGCGCCAGCAGGCCCCAGACATAGGGTCTTTCATGCCCGAGGCTTTCAAAGGACGATAAGGGCTACTGGAACTAATTTTACCAGGTCCTCGCCACCTGATAAAGCATTCCACCTTTATCTGCTCTTTCACATCCATCTTTGACTCCTACTGGTCTTAAATAGGGCATTAAATCCCAAGGAGAGGGAGCCTTGAAATTACCTTGATGCCTGGAGGCATACCCCCTGGGAGGGGGCAGGACCTTCAGAATTTATTCTCTAAGCCCACTACAGGTGCATTTCCTCAAATCCAAAGAGGGGTAATTACACCTATTTACTTTTCAAACCCCAGAAGCTCAGGACTTAGCATAAGAAAAGTTTATTCCAGTGTCCAGCAGTTGACCTTGTACTCAGTGACTTAGAAATTGTGTATGTGAAATGCTGAGGAGAACACCTACTACAAGGTAAGCTCTTAATAAAGGTAGCTGTTATCATTTTGAGATTAAAGGATTTGAAAACCCATAAAGGAGCTTCCTACATAGGCCTTGGTTTAAATGAAGCTTATTCCTGGTTTTTTTGCTTATACATTTGTTTATTTTTCTTTTTGATGCTTACTCATCAGTTGGATAGAATAGGATTACTGATATTCCTTGGTTCATTATACACTACCCTCATTGGTCCAAGCATGACCCTATTTTGTTTACTTTAATGATACAATGAACATCCATGAATCCACTGCCCACTCATAAATAAAAATATTACCAATGAGTTATATGTTTTTATAGGTTCTTCCCAGCCCATACCCCTCCCTCCTGCAGATTTAACCATTATGCTGCATTTCGTATTTATAATACAATTACGTTTAAAAAATTGTTATTATATATATGTATATATACATACATATATATATTCCCAATGTTTAGTTTTGCCTCTTTGGGAACTTTTTAGGCAAGGGTGTCGTGCTATATATAGTTTTCTGCTACTCGTTCTTTTTTATTCAATATCATGTAGCTAAGATTCATCCACATTATTGCATGTAGCTAAGTTCATTCACTGTTTACTGCTGTATAATAGTCCATTGTATAAATATGCCACAATCATCCATTCTCCTGCACACATGAGAAATAATGAAAATGCTCCTTATCAGAATTTGTGGGAAGCAGCAAAAGTGTTGCTTTGAGAGAAATTTATAGCTTTAAATGTATATATTAGAAAGGAAGAATGGCTGAAAATCAAGCACTAAAGGTCCAACTTAAGGTCAAAAAGGAACAAAAAGAATAAACTGCAAGGAAAGAGAAAGGAAGGAGATAAGGAATAGAGGAGGACCCAGGAAGTCAAAAGTTGGTTCTTGAAAATAGTAACAAAATGGTAACAAATAGTAACAAAATCATCATGATGTCAATCACAACAAAAGGAACAAATAATATTATGAATGAAGAGAAGGTATAACTACAAATATTAGTAGATTTGAAAACAGGCAAATGGGCAAATTCCTGGAAAAATATTAACAATCCTGAAAAATCAGAAAGTCTGATTTGGCATATTGCCATTAAGGAAGTCGAAGTTTTATTTAAACTTCTTCATACAAAATAAACACAAGAACCAGGTGGTTTTACAGGTGGAGTTTACTCAACTGTCCAGAAACAGATTACTCCAGTTTTAAACAAACTCTTTCAGAAGATTAAAAAAAAGAGTATCCCCACCATCCAGGAAGGTTTGAATAACTTTAATTCCAAAATCGGAGTTGGCCTTTATAATATATTAATAGTAATTATGAGTACTTCTAGATCACTGGAAAAACAGGACCAAGATTCAGTATAGCGTGTTGGTTAGGAGCGCGGCTTTGAATCTCAAGTGTCCCTCCAGTTTCCTTATCTGTAAAACTAGGATAATACCTGACTTTCAGGGTTCTTATAAGGATGAAAAAGCATAATATCTGGTCCAACAAATGATCAATAAGTCATAACCATTATCATTATCAGTGGCATCATTTTAAGACTACCCTACATCCCACTGTGTAGAACATAACCATGTAGGTACATTTTTTCCTATATTCATAATATTTCTTTTTCTTTTTTTTAAAGATTTTATTTATTTGTTTGAGAGAGAGAGAATGAGAGATAGCACGAGAGGGAAGAGGGTCAGAGGGAGAAGCAGACTCCCTGCTGAGCAGGGAGCCCGATGTGGGACTCGATCCCAGGACTCCAGGATCATGACCTGAGCCGAAGGCAGTCGCTTAACCAACTGAGCCACCCAGGCGCCCTAGTCATAATATTTCTTTTATTTTCTTACATGTTTATATATCTATTAGCCTGTCTTTTTTTTAACCTCATGTTTTTCCACATCTCAACTATATTACAGAACAATTTTTTTAAAAGATGAATTACATATCGAAATTTTACCAGGTTTTCTGGTAGTAAGCATTATGGACAATTTTTCTTCATACTTTTATATAATAAGTATGCATTTGTAACAAAAAAACAAGCTTTAATACACTCAAGTACTTTTTTTAAACACATAAAGCAAAGACTAACAAGTCATTGCTCAGTGGTGTGTGACTATGAGGGATGGTTTTTTTCTTGTACAGTTTAGTATTTTCTAAAAGGCTTGCAAGAAGCACGTATTCTTATACAATGGAGAAAAGCATATTAATGCAAGTGAATTTTTAGTGTTAAAAATTCCACTAAGTACATATGTCTTTTTTATTAATGGTGAACATTTATATTGTTTTCCCTGGGGAAGTGGCATTACCACACACTGTTTCCCAATACCAGCAGGGGCTGAGAGTCTTGTTGCTTGCCTTCTTCCCAGCCATGAACAGTTTTTAAACTTTTAATCATTTTTGAGCTATTAAGGTGCATTTCTTTGATTATTAGCAACAATTAATTTTCCAAAAGGAACTGGGCATTCATTTTCAAGGCACAAGAAGCATTTTTCAAACAGGACTCTGTCTTACAATACCAGTCATGATTTGGGGAGCCGGCAGGCGGGGGGGGACACTGCCCTTCTCTGCTGTGTGTCCGGATTCTAGTTCCCTACTCTGCCCATGTAATTAATCGTGTCGTTTCTCCCTTATCCTAGTTCCATGTCTGTGACAAGCTTGGAGGCTGAGTTGCAAGCCAAGATCCAAGAGACCTATCCTGAATTACGACGTGTATACTTTAATAAGGGATTGTAAAGTAGCAGAAGAAACTCTACAGCTTATCCCATCTACTGCAAACCTGGTGAGGAAAAGCCTGTTCGACCCGGGTTCTCCCAGTTACAGAAACCTTTTAAAGACCCACATTAGCCTTTTAGAGTCAAGCTGCTACTTACAGCACAGCACCTGGTATGGGCCAGACACCTGACACCTGTTGGCGCCCTTACATTTGAATCACGATATAATTTACAGAAATACCCTTCCTCTAGCTTTTATAGTAATTGTTTTTCAAGGACAATATACCAGCCCTCACCCAGAGTTTTAAAAAGCACTGCTAGGCATAGAGTAGATGTTCAGTGTATGCTCAATAAATATGTATTGATTATCAGTGAGTGAAAAGGAAATCTGTTTGAAATACTGAGTTTTTATCCCATTCTTGTTTCAAATCACTCAGCAGTGATTGGGGAAAACACAAAAGCTCTGAGGCTAAGCTATAAAAAATGACTCATGAATATTAAGGACATTTGCTTCCACTTTGGGCAATGGGCAACCCAAAGTAGATGATGAGTCTTTTGGATTTATAGGAGAAAAGCTCTTCCGTCTACTTCCCCAAAGTCACAGTGATAGAGAAGTGTGATGAGCCATCCCTGCTGTCAACAACTATATGCATTCATATTGCTGGTGGATTTCTTTAGTTGGCTCTTAAATTTATTCTGTTTTACATTTCTGTGAAGTTAATCTTACCTTGCACTTGTTGACTTTATATTCAGTTATTTACATCAAATAATCAAATAACTGAAATATACAAATGTCAAATTTTGGAAGTATATTCAATACCAATTCTGTATGACTGGGTTGAATCTGGTTTGTTTGATTTTTTTTTAGAAGTGAGGGCACGGTTCCAGCTAGCTACATGTCTTTTCTTGTCATTCTCATAGACCTCTTTGGCTTTCAGAAAGATACAGAAATAATGTGTATGTGAATCAGTGACTGAATGAATTGTACTTGAATATTCTGTACTACATTCCACCCCGTTTGACAATAAGGAATCCATGGACCACTGTTTACATCATCTGTAGTAGCTTCACATATATTTAATGTAACAGATTATGTTTCAAGTCTGAAGATGTTCAAGCCATATGCTAGGTGGTTGTTCTGTTGAGTGAGGCCACTCAATTCAATTGTAATTCAGAGACTTGTAAGTGAAAAAAAATGTAGAAGCTAGTTTTGACAGATTTTTCCAGACAATGTGACCAGACTGAATTTCCTCATAAAGAAAAAATGGTGTGCCTTGTGTCTGTGTTTCTCTTTTCTCTGAAAGGATTAATGGATCTGAAGCTTGGGGCCACTCTGAGCCTTCCTTTGTGCCACCAGAATTTTCTCATTTAGATTTTCTGTCTTAAACCATTTGAGGCAAAATAGCTTCCCCATTACATTCTGGCCTTGGATGTATTTTTTTGCCATAGATGCTTCTCTTTAAAAAGTGGTAAGAGCCTGAAATTCAAGGCAGATCTCCATGAGGTGCTTTTAAGGGTGCTTTTAAGGAGAAACCGAAGTCCCCCACAACCTGCCCCAGCTAATCTCAGTATTCTTACCCCCCGCCCTCCCGACTCCCCACCCCCGTTCACTGGTAGCTCCTTCTCAGAATCTTAACCTTCACTGAGAAATTAATCAACTACTGGCTTGAAGATTGATGAACTAAACTTTATACACACCAGGGAGGGATAATGAACATGGAGATGTGTCTTTTTAAACATTATTTATTGAAGCTTCCAACTCTTGATGCTTTTATATAGAAATATTAACTGTATCGTTTAATCGTGGTTTATAAAAAGGAACAAATGAACCAAGATTGGCAATTTTGCTGATTTCTTAGAAATAACCTTTTCTGGAGAAAAGTCCACATGAAGTGCAATGAGCTTATAACGGTAAATAGTTATTCATATTTCTATTAACTTTATAAAGAATTATGATTGTGCGTATTTACTGACTGGCAGTTTTTATTTCAGTATTAGCACAGTGCCTCGCCAGTGTTGGAATCAATGTATTATTTCAGTTCAACTGGATGAAATGTTAAATAAACTCAGAATGAAAATAAATTCTCTCTTTTATTTGTATGTAAAGGGTAATGCAGTTTTTATGTCACAGTTGATGGTACCTTTCATTCCGACTTGACATCCGGGTACCATCAGTAACTCCCAATGAATGATAGTTTGTATTATGCCTTCAGGAAATTCTTTCCTGTTTTTGGCTCCCAGTCTGCCACCTTCGTGAATACCGTATGCACAGAGCACACGCCTCCTCCCAGCCCCACACAGTGCAATTCCAGGAATGTTTATTATGAGCACAGGGGAAAGTGTGATTCTGCTTTAGATGCTGATAACGAATACCATTGCATGTGGTGGGGAGGTAAATTCCCTCTCAGATTGTCTGTCAGATTCTAATGTGGAACTAGCCTTTGACATAGTTCACAGAGAAGAATCTCAACCCAAGATTGGGGAGTGCCTTATGACCAGACTTAATAAAGGGTTTTACTACTGTAACTCTGTTCGTCACTTAAAAATGAGTTAACTATATTCAAGAGCTTGGGTCTAGAAGTCAGACAGAGCTGGTAGAATCTTGGTTGTACCCACTTTTAAAATATATGTGTTTAGGCGACTGACATTCTCCATAACTTTCAGCTTTGTTTGTTTGCTTTGGTTTTGGAGAAGATAACTGAACGTGCCTCATAGAATCATTATAAAGATGAGTGAGACAATCTCTGTACAGCAGTTAGCATATTGCCTGGCACACAGTAAACTCAGTGAATGGTTGCCCAGCGTGTTATTTATTTGTTCTAGAGACACCGCTTGTGCATTCAGAATACCAGTTTACCAGTGTTCACGGTAAGATTTTAGAACCCCAGCAACTTCCCCAGAGATAACCGCCAACCTAACTAAAAATACAGATTAAAATGCTCAGGCAGAGACTTGAATCCATCCTGTTAAAATGCCCGACAACTACGGTTTTGCCTGAGTGAGACAGAGGTAGGAAAAGTCTCTACTCGCAGATGAGAAAACCGTGGCTTCCAGTGGTGAAGTGCAAGTTCAAGGCCACTCCTGGTCACTTGAAAACTACAGTGGGAGCCAAGATCTGACACCCAGGCCTTCAGCCCTCTCCAAAAATGCAAACAATTGGAATACTCGAATAAAATTAGTTTTTCCTTTGTGTATGCAGAGTTTCACTGAAAGCTGAAGAAAAATAAGCTTGTTTGGTAGTGATGAATATAAGGTGTCACTTCAAACATAGATACTCCAAGCATGGTCCATAGACCGGAACATCCAAATTTGCTAGAAATGCAAGTTCTGGGGCTCCACCCCCAGACCTACCGACCCAGAACCTGCAGGATATAGCAGGAGCCCCGTACACATCACGGTGTGAGAAGTCCCGCCTGTAGCCGTATCTCGGGTGTTCCCAGAGATCTGAGCGTCATTGAGCCCATTTCAAGCTCAACTTACAGTTTTCTATGAATTCACATATCTTGCCCCTCACCAGATTCCAAGGAAGTATCAAGGCTCGATGTCGACACACTTAGGGACACAGTATCAATAAGCTTACCAGGGCAGAGATGTCCGTTTTGCCCACTGACCTAGAACAGTTGGTACCAGCCAAGGGTCCACGTGATTACTGGGTTCACGCTGGACCCTTTCCAGGAGTCTGAAAAAGCATCCTCCCGTTTCCTTGCAGAAAAGAACCCATTTTGTGTCACAAAGAGGAGGTCATCACCAGGATGTGGAAAGAACGGGGAATGTGAGCTTTCCTGGGAATGGGGCCCGAAACAAACACTGTCCCTGGAGAGTGAGAGGGGAAATGGCTGTCAGCAAGTGAGCTACAAGCAACGTTATGAGGCACCCCTTTGTCGCTGGGGACATCACTGCCCCTAAAGTCTCTGGAGCAGAAAGAGTACTTGGGACGATACACATTTAATCCTCAAGAAGCCTGTCATATCCCCATTTGTGAAAAGAGAAGGAATTGGAGGCTCAGGGAAGTACCCTAGCTTGTGTGGTGTCACACAGTGGCCCAACCACCCTCTCAATCCAGGCTGTCAGACTCGACTATTTCCACTGCATTTCATGGATCCAGGGTGGGAGGTGGTGGCAGCTGCTTCCCCTCCTCCTCCTCCCTCCTCCACCTCCC